ATGGATTTTAGTATGTATATAAGGCTGTATGAATATATGTACATATGTATATTTGGCTGTGCATAAGATGAGGGCACCAGCAAACAGACGGACAAACATTGCTTTATAACTGCGATTTTATGCATACCGAGTGTGGCTAGTACGCTAGTAGCAAGCGCTCGACAGCCGGCTAGTCAGCCGATCAGGCAACACTCATTTAAACAATTCGGCAGTTGGTTAGACAGCCAGCCAGYCAGTAAGTACGCCAGGCCAGCAGCCAACAGCCACCTGTGTGGATATCGAGTTTTATTTTAATATTAATACGCTGTCAATGTATTAACAACGGCTCAAATAACAGCGACAGCAGCAACAAAAACAACAAACACAGCGGYAGCAACAAGCGACAATACACGTCAATAAAAAAATTATCTTGTATATTTGTAAAATTTTTTTATTTTTTGGATTTTGATTTTAATCAACTTATAACTGGATTTATGTTTTTTCACGCATTTTATTTCGTTTAGATTATTTATTCGTATTATTTTGTTTTTAGTATTTTTTATTTAGGTCTTTATTTTTGTTTTTCTTTCGCTACAAACGATTTTTGTTATTGCGTACAAAAACAATTCATTTATTTATGCTTTAGCTCGCGTGCTTTGCTGTAAATTGCTGTAAATTGTATAAACAACAGCCGAACTGAAGCGAAAAAATAACGTACACATAACGCAGAAAGAAGAAGAATAATATCCATAAACACAAAGTACTCATAGATTTCATGTAATTTCAATTTAATGTAAACAAGCGTTCAAGTAACAAAGTACAAAGCAAAGCAAAACCAAATAATCAAAAAAATTATGGCAAAAAAAKTATAGCAAAAAATTATGGTACAATTTATAGCAAAAATTATGGCAACAAAGTAAAACAAAATAACTCACGAWAATAAAATTAAAGCACAAATTAATGCAAAATTAATTAAAAAGCTGCAAAAATCTGTAGCAAAAAAATTATAGCAAAGGAAAGTATAGCAAAAATATTTTATGGTAAAACAATACAGCAACAATTTGATCAAAAGTATAAAAAATATCTGTGTCAGAAAATTATAGCTAATATACTAAGAAATTATGGCAAAAAATTATCACAATAAATTTATTGCAGAAATTTTATGCAAACAAATTTTAGAACAAAATTTTAAAGCAAAAAGTGAAGGAACATTTTTTACAAAAACTTATGATAATAAAATTGTAGCAAAAATCATAGAAAAAAATTTTACAAAAAAAAAATGGCAAATATAGCAAAAATTTTTACAAAAATTATTACAAGAAGTGTAGCATAAAATTAATGCAAAAAAATTTGACAGAAACCGATGACAATAAAATTAGAGCAGCAACTGTAGCAAAAATAATTATTACAAAAAAAAATAGTAAGCAAATTATGTAAAAAAATTATGGTGTAAAAGGACAGCAACAATTGTTACAAAAATTATAGCGAAAAAGTCTTGCAAAAAATAATGGCAAGAAATCGTAGCAAAAAGGTTTTGTAAACATTTATAGCAAAAACTGAAAAGAAAAATGGTTACGGCAAAAAACAAAGAATTATTGCAAAAACTATGGAAAAATCGAAAGCACTTTGTATTACATTTCTGCTTCGTTTTCATTTAAAATATTTTTTTTTTCTTATAATTTTTTTTGCTCCGGTTTTACTTGCTTTACGCTTKGCGTCGCGGCACACGCTGATTTCACGGTGCGTATACGCAAAGTCTCGCATTACATGTTGCGTGTTGGAAGCATTAGCGGCAGTGCCGACAGCGCTGAAATATATTGCGATACACAATTTACACATTTATTAATATTTTTTTAAGTNGAAATATATTGCGATACACAATTTACACATTTATTAATATTTTTTTAAGTGTTTTCTACAACAACAATAATAAAGCGCGCTTCACACAATGTAATAAGTAASTGTAAAAGATTATATTTTCAACCCTGAACGCGTGGCAGTGCGTGGCACGCTTATTATTCGGCATTTGTATAAATATTTTTATTTAAAAGCGGCGCTGGCTAGTATCGAAAGGAATGGAAAGTGTTGAATTTTAATTTTGAAAGAAAAAATAAAGTCCGCTGGATTTTTCATCGATTTCTACTTTTCAAACAAAACATCATAGACTACCCTACCSTACAGTAGGGCAAAAAATAATTTTAGATTCAAAGTAAAAGAGAGAATATCCATTTAAATCTRGTATCTGTAAGGAATTTTATCCCTTTTCCGACTTTCAGAAAAATCAAATTCAAWRAATAAGGTAATGTGGTAARTGCTAAGCTACGCGCCACATGAWAAAGTGCAAGAGATTRATTTTGCAGGTAAGCAAAAGAAAAATATCCATTTAAAGGAAGTCTCTATAGGGAATATTATCACTTTTCTAACACTCAGCGGRAACAAATCCATTTTTACCAAGCCTAAACTGTCAGCTGTTTTTTTTTTTTAAGATTTGTTAACCCTAGGTACACGATTTGTATGAAGCACAAGTGTCAAAGAACATTTTTGCTTTATTTGAAGCAGGCTTCTAGGCGCGCTCTGTCCTCAAAATTTTTCATGCAATTCTTAAACGAATTTATTACCAAAATTACATTCAAATAATGAATGAAAAACTGATTTCATGCAATTTTGGGTACGAATATAGTATTTGTAACTAATTGCCAAAAACAGCAAGTGGCATTAACAATCCTTAATATGGACCTACATTTGTGATATCTACTTTTTCCTAAAACAATATCATTTTCACGAATTAAAATTTAAGAATTAGGCGAACCGATTTTAATTTGCAATTTTTTTTTTTTTTTTTTT